TACGAAAACAGTTTGGTATATATTTCAGCTTCTTCTGTGTATGTTAACAAATAATAATCAACATTAATGTTGATAAACAGACGATGTATCTCCACTAGATGGCAGTATCTCTTAGGACATGTACCAGTTTATACATTTATGCATTGGTCTTGTTTATCGTTGATCAATATGATGCATAATGCAGTGAGCCTTTGCTCTAGATGTGAAGAAGCTGAAGATTGTTTGATGAGTCTGTTCACAGTAGCCAAATGGATTTGATTGTGCAAATGGATTTTATAATGGCTATAAAGTCTGGGCTATTCTGCAGGCGGATGAGCTGTAAAGTTGATCAACTTGATCACAGAATGAGACAAGCCTCATATCTCACCATCATAGTTTCACCATACAATTAAACTTAACTGTTTAATTTGAGAGGAAATGGGTCTGTATTAAACCACATTAACAGTCAATGCAGTTACGTGATACGATGCTTAGTTAATCATGAAGTGTGTAGTGTGCATTTACCAGACAAACATACCCCCAAAAGACTCCACAGATAAGTATTTTAATGCAAATTTGACTCATTTTAGGTAAATAATTATTTAATTAAGTCACTGAAGTGTTTATATAGCTGGTTTACAAACTGTACAAGTTTTTGTTGTTGTCCTTTTCTCTCATAAATCATTCCTGATTAATTGAATCAAGTGTTTGTATGGATTTGTTTTTTCTTCTGCCAAAAAAACTGTCAAATAAAACGTTCATTCACAATCAAATCTGCTTTCTTTCTTTTCCCCCCATCAAGCCAGATCTTTGCACAGAATTGATTTAACTCAAACTACTTCTACGCTGCTGAAGACGAATCATCATATTTCAGTCTATTATTTTTTTAATTCAATTATTAAATCATTGTCACCCCCCTCACCCCCAACCCTGTCAAATCAGTTGGAAAGTTTTCATTATGTAAGAATGATGTATTGAAATGTTTTGTAAACAACCTGTATATAACTCCAATACATTTGCAGATGTAAATAACCATAATAAGAATTAATGTATTTTGAGTCTTTCTTGAACTCTCCATATTTATAAAGCAGGGACTTTGATTAATCACTGTAAATATGCTTTCTGTCTGCCAACAGCTGTCAAATCAAATGTTCACGAAGACCAGAATGAAATATTTCTTCCTTTTTACTTAATTTAAAGTTGTTATTGTTGTTGTTTTTCACTCGAAATGACTAGAATTCTACAGTGTCAAGTGGAACATTCGGTATCACTTTATTTTGATGGTTCCTTTAACCCATTTAATTTGCATTGCATCTACATGCCAACTAGTTCTCGTTAGATTACGAGTAGACTTTGGTTAGTGTAAGTTGACATGTACTTCCAAAGTTTCTTATAGTCAGTTAAATGTCTGTTGAAGGAGCGGTATCAGCAGATATTAAACAGACAGTTGACTAATACTCAGATGAGAAGTCATTGGCATGCTGCAATGCAACTTTTAGTCAACAAAAGGTGCAATAGGGACCATTAAAATAAAGTCTTACCGAATCTTCATGTTTCACTTTTATTATTATCGAACTAAATAACCGATGAAGAATCTGAGTAACTATATTTGATTTACAAACTGTAAATAACTACAATACACATGTAAACCAGGGGTGTCCAAACTCGGCTCTGTCTTGCTTAACTTAGTTCTAACCCCAATTAAACACACCTGAACCAGCTAATCAAGCAATTTCTAGGTATACTTGAAACTTACAGGCAGGTGTGCTGAAGACAGTTGGAGCTAAACGATGCAGGACACTGGCCCTCCAGGACTGAGTTTGGACAGCCCTGCTGTAAACAAAGCTGACTCAACTTAAAATTTGAAGGCAACCAGCATAATTTTTTATCAACCAGAGGTGCGTTTCTGAAAATACGTTAGCCTACTAAGGTCACAAGTTCCGTTGTTACAAACAAAGTTCGTTGATTTCCTTTCCCAAATCCATCGTTCCAACAAACATTTGCAAACTGCAACGCAAACTTGTACGCATGCAACTCTGGAGCTGTAGTTAGAAACATAGTTCCTGGCTGCGTTCTATTCCCAGTTATCCTCCCTATATGTCCTATTCGTTTACAACATTCCAAATATATAAACTTGGTATGATTAAAAAACAGCATTAAGGTCATCTCTCTTAAGTGTCATTTGCTTTCAAAGTAATTTTACAGTTCAGTTATAGTGTTCTTCATGCTGACAATTGTGCCCCTTCACAGTGCACTTTGAAAACATTGATGCCATTTTGAACACAGCCGTGGCTCATGACGAAAGCTATAGGTGACCTATTATTTAATTTATGTTACGTCTCCATAGCTTGTGAGAACAAAAAATATAGCATACGTTAATGCTTTTAATCTATAGAAGGTTATTTATTAAGTATCTGTACTGTAAATGACTTGGGCCTGCTGGTTAGAACATTTCCGAGGTCCTGACTCTCTGTGGTCAATAAAAAATCCCATAGCACTTCTCGTAAACGAGCAGGTGTGTAACCCTGCCCTTACGATCATGGCCTCCCAATTATCCCCTTCCACCGAATTGGCTCTATCACTGTCTCTCCACTCCACCAATAGCTGGTGTGTGCTGAGCGCACTGGCGCCGTTGTCCTGTGGTTGCCGTCGCATCATCCAAGTGGATGCTGCACACTGGTGGTGGTGTGGAGAGAGTGTGGATTATTATTATTATTATTATCATTATTATTATTATTATTATTATTATTATTATTATTATTATTATTATTATCATTATGGTTATTATTATCATTATTATTTAGTATTTTTATTTTTTTTTATAAATGGCCTAAAACCATTAGCCTATCAATTTCTATGATTTATATATGATTTTAGAATACTAGTTAGCTTTTGTAAGTGGTTTTTATGTTTTAGAATAGGATATGGAATATTTGCAATAATATTTGTAAAGGAAACATTTATAGACTCTATATGTATTTGTTTACACATATTTCAATTAATACAAAAAGCAAGCAAAACTAATATTGGATTTTTTTTAAATGTGTGTGCGTGTAAAACAATATAATTTGCACAAAGAAAGGATGGGGTTCTTCTCTAAAGAAGTTGTTACCCCACCTCGTTTAGAGCATCATTATAGGCGATTTACGTTATAACTAACGTGGTTCATGCGATGGATCTGCGACAGAAAAACTATGGATTTTGGGAAACACTCGTCACTATATCGTTCTTTTCCCAAACGATGCATTGTACAATGATAGTTTAGCCGTGAGTTATGTTGTTGTTTGGGAAACGCACCCCAGGATATTTAACTGCTCTACCAAGAAAAAAAATTGGATTGCATTTCTTAACTCATAATGTTGCTAGATAACACACTCAATGCATTTTTTTAACACATTCCATCATTTCTAAAATATCCACCTTTTGGTAAAAGTAGTGGAGTTAATACATATGCTATGAAAAATCTGAAAAATATTAAGTGTAAGACCAATTTATTTAAAAAGATAATCAAAATGAAACATTCTGCATACTAAATCATCTTGATTTTTTTAAATTTGCCTGAAATAATATGTCAGATTCTCATTTGACGTTTTTTTATTTATTTTTATTATTATTTAAAATATTTTAATTTTTTTTTAACAATAAAACCTAAATCAAGTGTAGTAGTGCAACAGGATTATGTTTGTTAGATTTTCTTGTAAACCAACAATGCCGCATAGTGTGACTCTTTATTTAAACCATCAAAATATGGTCAACCATTTGGTAGAGCAGGCAGTTAAAGGGTTAAATCGAGTCACGTGCAATACTTGAGTTTACTGTTGAATCAAAAAAGCTCTACAGCAAGTTACCTAACAATTTGAGTTGGGTCAGACAGACCGACTTGAGTTGAGTCGACAAGAAAAATTCCATAACATATATATATATATATATATATATATATATATATATATATATATATATATATATATATATATGTGTGTGTGTGTGTGTGTGTGTGTGTGTGTGTGTGTGTGTGTGTGTGTGTGTATGTATATATATATATATATATATATATATATATATATATATATATATATTGGGGGAAAAATAAACAGGGTTGCTAACTTCAACTGTAAATATTAATGTGATTTTTTCTGTCTTGATCGTCCATGTGTATGCAAAACTTTAAGCAAATTGATAATTTGTTTGAATTTGTTTTCCTCCTACCTTCGCTTGTGAATCAAATGTTCTTCTCTAAATAAAGGGACAATTTTGTTCGCAAATCTTTTTTCTCCTCAAGTCAACTGAGGTCCAGAATCTTTGCATTTGAGCAGATTTATATAGAATATTCAATCACAATCAACCAAATGTTTTGTTTTCAATGAAACCCCATCCATTGACTTTTACCCCCCTGAACAATACACGAAAAATATTATGACTAATTAGTCCTGAAAACATGTGCTTTTAGGTCATTGTAACTTATTAAACTAAGTCAGTCATGTTCTGACTTAGTTTAAGAAGTTATGCAAGCTATTTTAGGTGAGTTTAACATAATATAAGTTCAATGGACTCATAGTGAACTTGATTCAGCTTAAACAATGAAGGCAACCAGGATTTATATATGTCAAATCAGATTAAATGTTCGTGTAAACATTTTAAAATAATCCTAACTCTGTCAAATCGAATATTTTGCTTCACTTTTTATTATTCTCAGTGAAATAACTCAACAAATATGAGTTGTTTGGTATTATAATCCAAGATCATGACATGATCACGCGTTACCAAAATATGAAACCATAAATGTTAGCTGGGTAAAAACAAGATGCAGTGTGTTTTTGTCCTCGGCGTAATGTCGTGCATTGTTGTTCTTTTTAACCCTCGTTTGTCTTTTGTAATTGGATAGGATGGTCCTTGTCTCCTTTAGCCCCCCTTCTCTCTCTCTCTCCCCCTCTCTTTCTCTCTCTCTCTCTCTCTCTCTCTCTCTCTCTCTCTCTGTGCGTGTCTCACAGTGACATCGGGGTTTTCGCTCTTACAGTAATCGACTGGCACTGACAATGTGGACATCAGCGGGGAATATATAGTGTATCATCTACATTCGCGTCGTGTTATCAACGCATTGAACTTCATTATTACCAGGTAAGACGGCATTACTACGTCAGATGTGTTATCATGCATCCATACCGTATCCGTGGAGCTTTTGCTGAACGCATCCGATGTTAATCTGCTCCGGTCAGAAGTGAGAGACGGTTCAGACTCGCGCTGTTATTTTCCCGTAGGAAATCGCCGCTGCTGTTGTTATGGCAATAAAAGCGTTTGTTTTACTACTAATGTTAGTTAAACAACTGGCATAGCTCAAAACACTGAAGTTTGATGGGTTGGGGACGTTCAGCGGAGCAATTCACCTCCCAGTTGCAGGTGAAGCGGCGTTTTTAAGCGTAATAGCTGCGATGTAATAGCCTACGCATGTTTTGTGGACGATTGCAAGAGCAAGTTGACTTGTAAATGTAGATTGGCTACTAGTTAATCAGATTAAGACAAACCAAAGTATGAGCTTGAGCAATTCAACACCGACTCGGGATTTACAATTCACATCTCATCTACATTCAAAACAAAGCCTCTCACAATGTTTGTGTAGGTTGACATTAGCGTATTAAAAGTTACGCTAAATAAACGCTATTAAACGTTTTACGCTATTCGAATCAACATTATGATTTCTAAGAGCTCAGAAAGTTCTTTGTACATCATGTGGCATCATTTTGGTGGTCCTAAATGAATTTGGTCGGCATATGCTTGTGGTCTGGACTGAAGTTCATAGATACAATTAGTGGCCGGATGCCATGTGTCTGGGTGATCACTCCTTCTGGACATCTGATTTGATTTCGGATGCTCTGATTGATTAGGTTGACCGAGAGCCGAACCCCTGCAATTAGTGCAAATAGTAATTAGCTTGGGTCACTGACTGAATGACTGAGCATCTTTGTTATTGAACTCGTGCAGAATGAATGCAAACTATCGTACAGAATCAAACCCTTTTGTCTTTAAACTCTTAGCACTAATCTCTAATCAATCATTGGATGTTTTTTTTTTCCAGAAGTAATTAATTTTTCTCCTGTCATTCTAAGCAAATATGAGGGTGAGATTGAATGACTTTGCATATTTGTATTCAAACTCAGATTGGAGAATATTTTGGTCATTTGAGGACCAAAATTAGGGCTTGTTTCCAATTTATAGGGCTGAATTAAGAGTTGGTGCCATATTTCTATCTATCTATCTATCTATCTATCTATCTATCTATCTATCTATCTATCTATCTATCTATCTATCTATCTATCTATCTGTCTATCTGTCTGTCTGTCTGTCTGTCTGTCTGTCTATCCGTCTATCCGTCTATCCATCTATCCATCTATCTATCTATCTATCTATCTATCTATCTATCTATCTATCTATCTATCTATCTATCTATCTATCTATCTATCTATCTATCTATCTATCTAATGTAAGTCCACATTTTGGGACCACTTGGAAATCTTTGGTTTTACTGGATTTGTTGTGGGTTTGAGCAAAATAATATTGTGTTATATTTTATAAAGGTCTGTACAAACTCTTTCACATTTCTAATCATTTTTATTTCTCTCCCTGAAAATGGCAACTGGTCAGAATAGCAATAGAATACATATTAGAAAGGTCAACAAAACGTTGGTATCGTGTTGTCTAAAAATTTATATGGCATTTAAAAAGGAAAATAAATTAAAAGAAAATTCTAATGACAACCGTTTTATTCAGTAGCTTATGCAAATAGTAAATAAATAAATAAGTAAAAAGAAGAGTAATTTCCACTCAGAAATTGCAAAATTTGACAAACGATAACAAAGAAATGTCATTTGTAGAATAATACACTTAATTATCCATTTAAGTTGTTGTCCGTCACGTGGCAATGAAGTAAAGGCTTGTCTGCGCTGTCCGAATGAAAACCTTCATTGTTTTCGTGGCATTTTCTGCTAAACTGTTTGGCATGTGAGCTGCTAATTCTTGTTCTCTGAATCTCTGAATGGAGATCTTTGTTGCTGTTCTTTTTGCCTCTCTCTCTCTGCAAACTAGCTTTGAAGTGAACTTTTAGGATATTAATAGGGTGAACTGGAGCGTGTCTGTCTGTCTGTCTGTCTGTCTGTCTGTCTGTCCGTCTGTCTATCATCTGTTGTTTTAATTTTTGTTGTTATTCTATCCATCAAATCTTGTATCATTTTTTCACATTCTGTTTATGCTATGTTTTACTATATAATTTGGATCCATAGTATAATGACATTATTAGCTCAGCAAAAAAATAATACAATATCAAAATGCAAAATTAAAATAGCTGGCATTTCCATTTAATGTTGGGCTGCATGATATTGCAAAATTTGATATTGCAATATTTAATTTTTCTGCAATAAATATTGCGATAGCAATACAGTTTCATGAGATAGTATGAATAGCACTATTTGGTGTTTTTTAGGGAGTCTAACAGTATTGAGGTAAAGAAAGTTAATAATCACAAATAAAAAAATGCTTTTCTTACTTGGTTTTGCTTTATTTTTTATCCAAATATCAAACAAATATTTTAAAAAAATATTGTTTTGTTTTCAACATCAGAAGAATTGTCAAAATTTAGAGTTAAATGAGCTAAAGTAACTAAATAATCTTGTTTTCGCTTTGAAACGTAGATATTTGGACTAGACACAAAAAAAAACTTTTAAGTAAAATTTATTTATAAATCATATAAATTCCATATAAATACAGTGAATAAATGCAATTCTGTAGCTCCTGGTCAACTATAATTCGACTCAACATGGCATATATTGCGATGCTACTATTGCGAATGTGCACACTGCGATATCAACAATGAAATGAAATATTGTGCAATGCATTCAAAACAAAATTATGTTTGAGTAAATGTAAGTGTAACAATTAGGGACAATTAAAATGTTTTATGATTGATCCACTTAGATTTGTACAATCAATCAAGTTAACCTAATCAATTTGTGTTGGTAAACCAAGAAAGAATTGTCTATCTATCTATCTATCTGTCTATCTATCTGTCTGTCTGTCTGTCTGTCTGTCTGTCTGTCTGTCTGTCTGTATGATCGTCCGTCCGTCCGTCCGTCCATCTCTCCGTCATAATATTATGTTTTACCACATAATTTGGATCCAAAGTTTGATAACATTATTAGCTTTGCCAAAAAATAAAAAAAAATAGCTGGTATTACCATTTAATGTTGGGCTGCATGAAATTGGAAAATCTGATATTGCAATATTTTTTTTTTAAATCTACACAGTGTCACCAGATAGTTTGGATAGCATTATTTGATAATTTTTGGGCGAGTCTAACAGTATTCAGATACAGAAATTGAATAAGCACAACGCAAAAAAAAAAGCTTTTCTTACTTTATTTGGTTTTGTTTCTATTCCAAATATTAAAAAAAAAATGTTTTTAAAATTATTGTTTTGTTTTCAACTTTAAAACGTCCAAATTAAGAGCTAAAATGAACTAAAGTATCTAAATTATCTTGTTTTCACTTTGAAACGTAGATATTTGGACTAGAAAAAAGACAAACTTTTAAGTGAGATTTTTTTCATAAATCATGTAAATTCCAAATGCATTCTATAAATACAATTCTGTTGCTCCTGGTCAGCTATAATTCGACTCAACATTGCATAAATTGTGATGTTAATATTGCTAATGCGCACATTGCCATGATGAAATGATATATTGTGCAATGCATTCAATACAAAAGTATGTTTGAGTAAATGTAAGTGTAACAATTGGGAACAACTTAAATGTTTTATGATTGATCCACTTAAATTTGTAAAATCAGTCAGGTTAACTTAATCGGTTTGTGTTGGTAAACTAAGAAAGAATTGACTATCTATCTATCTATCTATCTATCTATCTATCTATCTATCTGTCTGTCTGTCTGTCTGTCTGTCTGTCTGTCTGTCTGTCTGTCTGTCTGTCTGTCTGTCTGTCTGTCTGTCTGTCTGTCTGTCTATCTATCTATCTATCTACCTACCTACCTACCTACCTACCCGTCCGTCCGTCCGTCCATCCATCCATTCATTCATTCATTCATCCATCCATCCATCCATCTATCCACCCGTCTGTCTGTCTGTCTGTCTGTCTGTCTATCTATCTATCTATCAATCAACTGTCTGTATGTCTGTCTGTCTGTCTGTCATATAAAACCATATCAAGACTTATAAACTTCATTCATTATCATTCGGAAAGTAAATTTAATGCGATTAATTTCATTTTGGGCCAAACTTTAATTAGCAGAATTAATTAAGATCATATATTTTATTTAATTAGCAGTTTGCTAAACATTTTATTCAGTGGAACGTGATGAATTTTATACATTATCAAAAATAAACATTTGTGTAAGCAGTAAAATAAGTGTCAGCACTGTCATTTTTGGCCATTAAAAGTTTTGACAAATCCACACCAAAGCACATTAGTTTTGCCTCTTTGATGAGGTCTCTCATCAACCCCAACTGATATTTCCCTCAAAACGAGTTTATGGCAAAACAAATTGCCTCTCAGCTTGACGGAAATGAGAGCAAGCGAAAAAAAAAGAAGTGACAAATGCGAAGGAAGAGTGTAAACATCAGACCTCCTCATTGAACTCCAGCATGTTCGGCGGCACCGAACGCACAATAGCAGACAGGCGATTAACTGCGGTTTAATCTGCGCGAGGCACTTTTCTCCTCAACATTCTGATCTGCGCCACTATTTTTAGCCCCACGAAACAAGCTTGCGCTCCTCCAACCCCCTAAAACACTGCAGGCGTCTGGAGGAATCCGGCATTTCAGATAACAGCGTCAGGAGGCTAAGTTTATCAGCGGGACACGCATGTGATTCAGGCAGATTCTGCTTTGTGTCTGCTGTGTGTTTGTTTCACGTCACGAGTTCATCATACTGACATTATCCTGTGTTTAAGGCGAGACGCTGCAGACAAAAGCAGCATTATTTCGTGCATTTTTTGAGATTTTGTCTCTTTTGGCTTTTCATAGTGTTTTTTAGTTGTCTTTTTAAACAGAAAATATCCAACAAACAGTTTTAAGCATTTTTTTATAGCTCTTATTATTTTTTTGTTTATATAATT